TCCATCTCTCATTTTCAGACCCATACTAGATTGGGTATTTCATAGGCACTTCAAATTCAGCAGGTCCTAAGAAAATTCATTTCTCACGAGCACCTCTCCGCTCCTCCCCCCTTATCTCCCAGCTGCTCCAAGTTTGGGGCTCTCTGCATTATCCTCTGGGGTGAGGCACCACCACAGCCTCTCTGATTGGTGAATGGCCACAGGGCCTCCTGGGCTTGTCAACCTTCTGTAGGCAGAATCCCAAAAGGGGAAGAGGAAGTGCCTAAAGCAGCTTCTTTCTCCAGAGGTGTGGAGAGATGGAACTCAGTGATAGGCCTCTACAGGCCTGTCAGTAGTACCAGAGCACTTGTACTAAAAGTTAAGCATCCAATAAAATTTAGCTCTCCTGGGACTAGATTTCTACTTTATATGATTACTAGAGGCCCGATGCACAAAATTTGTGCAAGAGTAGGCCTTCCTTCCACTGGCTGCTGGCACCGGCTTCCCTCTGGCACCCAGGACCCAGGCTTTCCTCGCAGCCCCAGCTTCATGCGGAAGGACATCTGGTCTAATTAGCATATTATGCTTTTAATATTATAGATTCTATTTAATATATGGTGCTTAGTTTATTCCTTCTGGCCCCAAGGTTGTTTTTAAGAATAATTTCTCAAATGAAATTCTTATTTTCTCCAGCCCTGTTCTTCCTGCTTAATCCTTACCAATGGTGCCATCATCCCCTCTCGCCTCACTTATTCCTTACCCTTAATTCCACACACACACATCTGTCAATTTTACTTCTGGGTGACTATCCTACTATTTTAAACTTTCATTTTTTTAACAGCAGAAACATTTTTTTCAATAAAAATCTTATACAGAACCTCGATGTATAAAAGAGAGGCTGCTGTACATATAAATAGAGGAAAGAGCATACCATTCCATCCTCCCTTACCCCCATGTTTGTCCCAAGGCACCTCTGAGAAAACCTAGGTACTCTGAAAGAGCTGGAACACTACCGTTCTCTCACCTGCCACCCCCAGTGCCCTGCCTGAGCTCAATTCCCACCTAGATCCCTATAGTCGCCTCCTGACTGCTCTCCCTGCTCACCTCCCACACCTCTGACCTGGCCTTGAGAATCCAGGGCTGCTCACACTTTCCTATTACATGGCTCAGACAGCAGAGCAGTGGTCTCAGGGGGAGTTAGGAGATGACTCAAGCCCAGATTTTATTTTAATTACTTGCCACTATCACTTTTAGTATCCTGAGGCTTCAGGTACTATCCTATTCCTAAGGATACAACATAGTCTGAGAGGTACTACGCTACACTTTCACCAGGGCTTTTCCAAGGCGTCATCTGATCAGATCATTCCTCGGCTCCCCAGTACTTACAAAATAAAAATCCAAATTTTAGCAGTCAAGGAATTTACACAGAGGGCTCTACTTCCAAACTGGGACATGTGGTTCCAGAGAAACAGAGGAAGCCACAGGACAATATGGTATGTCTTACTTAAGGTCAGTAATTTTAAAATATTAAGTTTATATTAATTAGAGAAGCAACACGGTATTAAAATGTAATACCTGCATGAATTTATAAGGCAAAACACATGAAATGTTGAGTGTGCAGTGGGGCATTTCCAGCTTTATTCTCAGATCTTTCTCACCTCAAGTACCAAGTTACTGCCCTTCGTAATTAGGTATGCTTTGGTAGAAAACGCCCATTTTTCAGATGGGGAAGCTGAGGCTCAGAAAGGTTAAATAATCCGCCCACAGTCACACAACTAGTAAGTGGTTAAGCTGGACTTTTACCCCAGGTAGTCTGCCTTCAGTCATGCTCCTAACAACTATGCCTATTGCCTCCTCAAATGCATTAGAATGTCCTTCACTTCCACTAAGTATGCTTTCTCTGTTTTCTTCATCAGAAACACAAGGCTCTCATAGTCCATCACTCACTTATCCACCTTTGATAGACATGGATATTCAGAACTATTTCTTCAGTATAAGAAAAGTAAAGTGTATGTGCGATGGTAAATGTCGACTGAACTCGCTGCCTGACAGGGAGTGACGCTAAGGATGCCATACCCCTTCTAAGAGACAGTGGCATCTCAGCTGGAGTCCACTGAATGCCTTGCAAAACCAGTCCAGTGCTACTAAACAATCCAAATTTCCAAAAGAAGCTGAAGATGTGCAACCTGTTGATCTTAAAATGTTAGCAAAAATTCCAAACTTTTCTAAAACACTGGCAGACCAGAAGGAACCTGTCTGTGGGCTTTGATTAACTATGCTTCCTGTTCCTCAAACCCTGTCCACCCCTCGCCTTTGCACCTGCAGTTCCTTATGCCCAGGACCTCCACCCTCTTTCACCTAGTTGTTCTTAAAAGTGCATTTTAAATGCCAATTCTTCTGATTCTTGTCTCTGTAATAACACTTGTCCTTCTGTATAACAGTTGTCACATCTATCTTCCTATTAGGCCATGAGCTCCTTATGGGCAGAAATGGTATCTTATTCATTTCTGTGTCCCCAGGCCACATAAGGGATCACAGTAGATATCTACTGAACTGAGTTGCAATGCTCCTGCAAAACAGGACTTATCAGGGAGTCCTGTCTGGAACGTGCCCTGTACCCAGCCTGCATCCATCACAACCCCAGGCCTCCCCTCACCTTAAGGATGTCCTTAATGATCTTCTTCTCATCATGGAATCGTGCCTTCAACTCCTCCACATAGAACTTGAACAAGTCCAGAGGGGTGGAGCCTGCGGGGGGAGGGAGGG